AGAATAAGATAAGTCCAAGACCGAGCGGTAAATCCCTCTCGGGAGGAGGTAAGCCCTCTCAACGACGAACGGTTAAAACCCGTCCACTAGGAAAACAAGGCCTAGATCAAACAGAGGTTAAAAACCCTCTCAAAGCGGGACGGTTTAAAAGCCCCGTTCCCTAAGGAGGCCACTCCTAGGGCAAAAGACCGAGCGGGTAAATCCCCCTAGGGGAGAGGGTACAGCCCTCTCAACGAACGAACGGTAAATCCCGTTCACTAGGAACCAATCCTAGCTCAAAACCGAGGTAAAACCCTCTCAAAGCCGACGGTCAAGCCCGTCCCTAGGAAGCACTCCTAGGTCGAAGACCGAGCGGTAAATCCCCTCGGGAGAGAGGTAAAGCCCTCTCAACGTACGAACGGTAAATTCCGTTCACAGGAAAGCACTCCGCTCAAAGAGAGAGTAAAACCCTCTCCAAGCCGAACGGTCAAGCCCGTTCCCTAGGAAGCACTCCTAGGTCGAAGACCGAGCGGTAAATCCCCCTAGGGAGGAGGTAAAGCCATCTCAATGACGAACGGTAAATCCCGTTCACTAGGACAACACTCATAGCTCAAAAGCAGAGGTTAAATTCCTCTCGGTTCCTATTGAAGGACGAGCGGTAAATCCCGCTCGGTTTAAGTCGAAGGTCGAGAGGTAAACCCCTATCGGTTAAAGTCGAAGGTCGAGAGGTAAATCCCTCTCGGTTAAAGTTGAAGGTCGAGAGGTAAATCCCTCTCGGTTAAAGTTGAAGGTCGAGAGGTTAAATCCCTCTCGGTTTTTTTAAGATTGAAGGGCGAGGGTTTAAAACCCTCTCGGTTAAAGTCGAAGGTCGAGCGTAAATCCCGCTCGGTTTAAGTCGAAGGGTCGAGAGGGAAACCACTCTCGGTTTAAAAGTCGAAGTCGAGAGGTAAACCCTCTCGGTTAAAGTCGAAGTAGAGAAGGAAACCCCTCTCGGTTAAAGTCGAAGGCGCGGGTTAAACCCCTCTCGGTTAAGTCGAAGGTCGCAGAGGTAAACCCCTCTCGGTTAAGTCGACGGTCGAGAGTAAATCCCTCTCGGTTAAAGTTGAATGTCGAGAGGTAAATCCTATCGGTTAAAGTCAAGGTCGGAGAGGTTAACCCTCTCGTTTAAAGTCGAAGGTCGAGAGGTTAAACCCCTCTCGGTTAAAGTCGAGGTAGCGCGCGTAAACCCCTCTCGGTTAAAGGCGAAAGGTCGAGAGGTAAAAATCCTCTCGGTTAAAGTTGAAGGTCGAGAGGTAAATCCTCTCGGTTAATGTGGTCGAAGTCGAGAGGTTAAATCCCTCTGCGGTTAATGTCGAAGGTCGCAGAGGTAAATCCCTCTCGGTTAATGTCGAAGTAGAGAGGTAAAATCCCTTCGGTTAAGTCGAAGGTCGAGAGGTAACCACTCTCGGTAAAGTCGAAGGTCGAGAGTAACCCTCTCGGTTTAACGTCGAAGGTCGAGAGGTCAACCCATCTCGGTTAAAGTCGAAGGTCGAGAGGTAAACCCCTCTCGGTTAAGTCGAAGGTAGAGAGGTAAATTTTTTTTTTTACCTCTGGTTAAGGTTGACGACGCGAGAAATACCCTCCGGTTAATATTGAGGTCGGAGGTAAATCCCTCTCGGTTACTGTCGAGGGTCGAGAGGTAAATCCCTCTCGGTTAATGTAGAGGGTCGAAGGTAAATTCCACTCTCGGTTAATGTAGAAGGGCGAGAGGTTAAAAGCACCTCGGTTAATGTCGAAGACCGAGAGGCAATTCTCTCGGTGCCTGTTGAAGGACGAGCGGTAAATCCCACTCGGTTACTGTCGAAGGTTCGAGAGGTAAAAACCCTCTCGACAAATGGCGAAGACCGAGCGGTGGTAAATTCGCTCGGTTATATGAGGTCGAGCGGTAAAACTGCTTTCAGTTCCGCCAAGCCAGCCTCCTCAAACTCATCAGTTCATATAGTTAACCCGGCTAAAAGCGACCGCTAACTCGGACTTTGGGGGGCAGCATGTATAGGTAATAAAATATTTAACGAACGGTTACAAACACAACCAGATATTCAGGCTAATCTTGTTTATTATTATTCTGTTTATATTTTATTGGGGCTTTTATATCAGTTCGGATCCAGAGTTAAATTATAAATACAAACGCCAGGGCAAAAAGGCCAGGTACGTTAAACTTACTCTACATGACTCTCAAATACTCAATAGTGATAACCCTTCACTAAAGATTCAACAAGAGCCGAGGCTCTTCAAATCACTACGCCTAACTGGCGTCGGAGTACCTTTTGACGGTACATCCCCCTACGTCAAGAAGGAGACCGATCGGTTTGCGCCAACACGATGAGGCCAACAGGGAGGAGCAGTTTGGGAAGGCGAGCGAGCGGGCCCAGACGCAGTTATTTTTTTGCCGGTTAGTCTCTCGGGTCCCTAAAAGTATTCCGAAAACTATAGTAGATTACATTGGTAATGTTAAATTTAATACTTTTTTTGGTATTAGAAAATTGATTTGGTATCTAATTATATCTCTCCTATACTAATAGTATTGGATTTGGATATTTTGAATTATATAATTTATAATTAAAAATATATATTTTTATTTGTACAAGTTAAAATGTAAATTTATATTCTAAATTATATAAATTTATACGGTATAATATGCAACATAAATTTAGAATATAATTTAAAATGTTAAAACATTACTTATTATATAATCCATAATCTAAAATTTTATTTTAGATGATATTAATTTCTAATATAAATTTGGATAACAATTTAAAAATATAAATATATTTTGAATTGTATAGTTTTCAAATATAAAGATAATTAAGATTGAAAATTTATATAATTCATAATACCTTTCCATTGCATATTGTACCATCATTAATATAAATCTATTGCCTTTATGTTTTGTTGCTTTTGAAAAATATATGATTCTATTATTGTCGTCAAAATGAGTTGGTTTTTGAAATTTTGATACAAAATTCGGTTTACTAAGAACTTGATTCACTCGAATTGAATATGTGGTAAGGCGATTGGCTCATTAACCCATCCAATTTTCTAATAATTATTTTTTGTTGGGTTAGTCTAAGCATGACAAAAAAATCCGCGCCCGCAGATAAACCCGCGACGGATAGTTACTACCCGTGGTTTGCGGATAGCGGATAGCGGATATTTTAATACCCGCTTATAAATGGGTCGAATGCGGGTATTATACTATCCGTACCACGGATATCCGCTACCCAAAAAAATAAAAATAAAAATAAAAATTTACTTTATATTTTATTAAGTTAAATTTAATTAAAATTAAAATTAATTAGTAATTTATAAGGATAAATTTAATTAAAATTAAATTTTAATTTATATTTAATTTAATTTGTATTATATTTTATATATTTTTTATAATTTTATTTAAATTTTATTTTAATAATTTATAAAAATGTATTTTTTTAAATATTTGTGGGTATTTGAGGGTATCCATGAATATCTGCGTGTTTTAAAATATCAGCGGGTATTTTTTAAACGGGTATCCGTACAGGTAGCGGGTGAAATTTTTTTTTGTCGGATCGGATTGCGGGTAGGTACTATCCGTGCTCGACCTGACCCGTTGTCATCCCTAGGTTAGTCATTTTACAAAATATTGAAATAGAGACTTGAGTGAATTATTTTTGTATGAAATAGTTAAACAACCTAAAAAATCAACAAATATATACTTAACAACTTAATTTTTATGCAGAAACAAAATTTTGTTGAGGAGATTTTATATATCTCTGTGTGAATGAAATCTTATGTTTTATTGATCATAAATCTTAAATCTAATTTAAGACCCTTCCATTTATTTAGATTTGAATTAGAAAATTTTATTTTTTTATTAATAGAAAAAGAAGAAACAGAAGAAACTTATAATTAAGTAAGACATTGAGCCCGTCTCTTTAACTCATCAACCTCTGGTGGACCAGGTTGAGTTCAAATTTCTTCGACTCACTATTAAGTGAGTCAGATTAGATTGACTCACTAAGAAAGTAACCCATGATAGATCGAGACAGGTTAGGTTGGATGATCTATTTTAAGGTTAGGTTGGATGATCTATTTTAAAATTTTAATAAGGCCATGTAATAAATAATTCATAATTTGTAATTCTCTTAGCATATCATTGGTGTTGGGTCATCAACTTCTCATTTAATATTAATACATTTTGGAATTAGGTGTGTAATTCAATCTCTAGATTCGTATGTTTTATAAGTTGGGTAAATGTTAAATATCACAGCGAGTTAGGTCAATACAAATAATTTTTATTCATTATTGGATTCGTAATTAAAAAATTATTTATTATTCGTTCTTTTACCTATTAGATATATGTTTAAAACATATCCACAAATACTTTAAAATCCGTATATATTTTGTGAATTAATAAAAAATATTTTATAAATTTTTAAAATAAAATTTAAATAAAATTATAAAAAAGTTAAAATATAATATTAATTAAATTAAATATAAATTAAAATTTAAGTTTAATTAAATTTAACATTATAAATTAATTTTAATCTTAACTAAGTTTAACTTAATAAAATATAAATTAAATTTTAAGTTTAATTTATTGAGATAATTGTGAATAAGGTAATAAGTAATATAATACTTCCACTCAACCATTGTAAACGAATATTAAAATATTTACTAATTTTTATATAATAAAATTGCTATATAATAAATATATGTGAATATAATGTGGATTTTATTTGCGGTTTAATGTCTCCTTATGTCTCTATTTTTGTTCAGAATTTTAAATAGGTCTTTTTCTTTTTCGGTGTCTCAACTGTGTCCTTATTTTTGTAAAATTGAAGTAATTAGAGATCTTTCTTCAAATTGGACAAACAACCGTTTAAGTTTGGGGAACGTGGCATAGTCAATGTATTATTTTAAATGACGTGGCAGTTTATACATTATTAACGTGTATTTTATAATTTTTAAATTAAAAATTTGAGAGTAAATTGGGAAAAAGAAATTAAAGGCAGTAACTCTATCTGGAATTGAGGAATGCGAAAATAGGGTTCGTGAGAAAAAGTTGAAGGAGGCGGAGCCGACGGAGGAGTTGAAGTTCGCCTTGGAGGATCTTCCGGCAAGCTGGTTCTCGAGGTCAGCGAGTGTTCTGAGATGTTGTTGCGGAAGAGCATGATGAAGGAGACGTGCTTGGAGGCGAGGAGGTTGAGGTAGAAGGTCTTGAGGAGTGCGTGGCAGGGCTCGGTGGTGTCCTGGAAGACGCAGACGCGGTAGCCGCCGGCGAAGGAGGTGGAAGGCATGAAATAACAATGTTACGCGGGCGTCGGGCCTTGCAGCAAACAAAACCCAACCACGGAACGAATCGCCCCCCCCTCAAGAGAAACGAGGCTCATCTCCAATCTCTCTTCCCGTCGCCGCAAGCCATATGATCTTCCTCTGTCGAGTTCACGACGGCGGACGACGAGGCAAAGGCAAGGCGTTCACGCTGACGACATTGACACTTTGTCCTTCCCCTTGTTAGGTGTTTAGGTTTTCTTCCTTTTAAGGTATGAGTTTTTTTCTTCTCTCAAGGTTTTCAGATGAGAAATATTACGGATTGGTCGTGTTGTGCTGAAATATGTCTAGACTTGATGCTAAATGAAGGTCGATACATGAATTTAGGTTATACTAATGGATTTTGTTCTGGGACTCCGCATCTCGTCCTCATGGCATTCATGCTTGTTTGTCTGATGAAATGTTTTTCTTCGAAAAGACAAGTAAAAAGTTGGGGTTTTTGAATTTTTGTTGTGGTACTTGTAAATGTAATGGTATTGTTTGTTGAATGTCTTTGGTTGCTGATACGTGTTTTAATTATTTATTATCAATTATTTTTATTTAGTGTTTATGATAATGTTAGTTTGTTACTGGTGGTGTAAATCGCAGACTATGTCATTGTGGTAGGTACATGAGTTTAATTTTTGAGAAGTTGGTTGTTCTTCGTTTCAGATTCTGGAAAAGTTTTTGGAGGTGGAAGGTTTTCATGCCTAGAGAGTATACCGTGAGTATTAAAATATATTTGTTTGATCCATCAATCTTGAAAGAGAATAGAGAACTTTTATTACTCTTTTTTATTAGTTGAATGATTCTAAAAGCTACTTTCTTTTTTCGCCAGAGGAAACACCCAAAATGGTTGGGTTTCTGCAAATTTGCAGGGCTGCCATAGAGGCGGATTTGGTTACCGGGATAGCATTTCCAGAGCAATGTTTTGTGTGAGAGTTGTTTTTTGACCTTTCCATGTATGCTATGAAATAAGATGACCACTTTGTCCTTATTTAAATTTATTTCCATCTTTGCACTCTATTTTTTTAATTCAAAAGTTAAAAAATTATACTTCACACACGTTTTTAATGCCATATTATTTAAAAAGACACAATCAGCATGTCAGGTAAAGTTCTAATTAACGTCGTCTTCTCAATTTAACGGAAAGTCCCTATTTGATTCAATTTTACAAAAATAAGGACCCAATTGAGATGCCGAGAAAGAAGGTGGAACCATTTGGATCTGACTAAAATATAGACCTTATACAGACAATTAAACTTTATTTGCATATCTATGTAAATAAAAATATTTTTATAATCTTTTAATAAAAATTATTTTTGTTGCATTGTATAATGAAACAACTTGTTTTAGTTTCATACATGGCGGAAAGAGAATAATAATATTGTTAATAATCAAACTTGCTGGTCTGGTTTCTATTTCCAACAATGGAGGTGCAGGCTTCCAGCAATGTAGGTACGGCGCCGCTGAAAATTGGAGAATTTTAATCTAAGATAGTTAGGTCATTTTCACATGACTATGGCTGCGAGAAGAAAATATGGGGTACATAAAGAAGGGACCCTCCAAGAAAATTTCTGGAGAGAAATGGTTTAATAACTTTTTATATACTGCAAATTATTCTTAATACATTATAACAATTATTTTTATAGACTATTGGTTGTGATCTTGATTTTTTTTATTTGAAAAAAAATTTAGGAATCTTATTAAGAATGAATTTTGCAATAAAATTACCAACGAAACTCAAAACTAGTAAAATTTTTTGTTTAAATCATATTGAAAATCAAATAAAAAATAAGAATATTGTAAATTTAATAGTGATAAATTGGACGAATAATTTCTTTTATTGAAATGTTAAATGTTACAAAAGTCAACATAATTAATTGATTAAGAACGTAATGGTAATGTATATATATATATATATATATAACTAGTTAAGAGAAAAAAAAAAGAGTAGAAACTGTTTTTTTTAGCTTCTAAAGTAAATGGAAAAGAAGATACTTTATTCTGTCAGACGTTTTATCGAGGTGTGATAGTGAAATTATTGACAAAAGTTTTACCTTCTCTGATAACTTGGATTTAACTTGTTTTACTTCTGTAGACGTATTTTACGAAATTAAAGACTTCAAAAATTTGATTAATAATTATTTTAAACACTCATCTTATTAATGTTTATCGAAACAAAAGCAATTACATTTTTTAACATGATAATTTTTTATGAAATGTAAGAAAACTACACAGAATAGGATATTAGAGTAGATCAATATATTAAAATAATGAGACAAACAATTTTAATTTAAAATAATCTTATAATATAAATAAAATTTTCTAAAGCTCGGTTCATTAGTTAAATACAATTTGTCTCTCTAGAATACTATTCCTCAAAGTTCTCTGATATTTCTCTAGATTCTCTCATTTGAGCTGTCTGATTGACGATTAGGAGGTGTCCAAACGTTCACGGCGTAGAGGGCTACACAGCTGACCGATCAATTTCTCGATTCTAGCTGGTAAGTTGTTTTCCCCTTTTCACCATATGTTCTTGAGTCAAGATCATGCGAATTCTTCTGTTGCATGTGTTTTGTAGTTTTGTTCTAAGTGCCTAGTTCAATTAAGCTCTAATGGAGTTGTTCTTATCACAA